CAGGTCACTGAGCAGACAACTGTAAAATGGTCTACTGGCAACTGATTCGAATATTTCCGCTGACAAATAGAAATAGTCAGTATTTACATTGCTGTTCCTTAGTTCTGGATTACTCTTATAGATCTTGGCTTCAGAGTACTCTTCCATCGATTCAATTTTGAGCTTCGCTGGATACTGAACTATTTTGTAGCCTCTAGAACTACTTAATGTAGGTCAACAAAATATGTTTAATGTAATCAAAATATAGCCAATGAAATATAGCTGTTCTAACGGTTAACATCCCAAAGCCAAGGCTATTCAAAGTCGAGTTCGTGAACATAAAAAATAATTGTCGTTCCAGTCATGTAACAAAAGCCCATGTCGTATCGCATCCTGACAAAAGAGGCCACTTACGGTCCAGAATCAAAACGACAAACAAGCGATCGCGAACGATCTGAAAAGCAAATCATCTTGTATACACATGCTTTGCGATGATGTAATTTGTTTTTGTCCGGCCAAAAAAATATCACTCTATCGCGACTTCCTGCAAATCAATAAGTCGAACACACTTGACTGTTACTCTGATTTATTGACGGTCATGTGACTTGAGGTTTTTCTGGCAACCTTGCTTTCAATGGGTCTCAATGACATTCGTGTTGTTGTTGTTGTTTTTTTGAAAAAAACTTAAATTGCTGTTTTAGTGAGATTCTGGATTTTCAAAATTTTACATTTCTTGTACTTTCATTCCTTTGTTGTGATATTTTTCGAGTTAAAATCTTAAACTGCTCTATGCAGGCCCGCAAATATTCTCGGGACCACAAATGATCGCAGGGGCCCGTTTCTTGAAGGTCCCGAAAAGTTTCCGCACCCGGAAAGTTGTAGCAAAATCTCAAACCTTATGATTACATAGCTGTTTTATTTACATATTCTTAATATGGCCAGAAGTTCCCTTCATACAAGAAGTTTCAGGCCTATATACCTTTCTGTTTTTAGATACAGATTAACTAAAAATGGCTTTGCGGGCCCGAAAAGTTTCCGGGGCTTTAGAAAGAGCGAGAGATAATTCGCAACCACTACGTTATCTTATTAAAAATGTAACAATAAAAATGCCGTAAAAAATAACGCTTTCCGTTAGCAGGCCGGAGGACCGCAAAATTCCAAACTTTTTAATAACGAATCCAGTTCAAAGTTCGTTATCACATTGCAGGTTTTCTTTTGTTGAAGACGAAAAACTTACACCTCGAATACAATCACCATAATTACGGCATAGCACATACCGTATAAAATGATGATGCAACATTGCACCTTGACAAAAGTGGTAGCATAATTATGCAAAGTATCGTTTGGTCTAAAAGAAAGAAAAAACGAAAAGTAAACAAACAACTTAAAACCACCGATAAACGTTCAAATCGACAAAAATAACAGTCATAATGCGTTTGCCCATAAAACGCCACCAACCCTAGACTTCACAACTATAATTTGGAGGCCATTAACTGTTTACCTAAACAGAAATAATTTAAACAAGTGAAGGCGATACCTGATAAATAAATAAAGCACTTTTGTGTTCACGAATTGGAGAGAAACGAAAATAGCTCATATTAGTAAAAATATTTATTCTGGAGGAATGTAAATCTCTCTATTCGTTGCTTCCTCTTCGCTTCCTTGAGTGGGTATAGGGTTGCTTCACCTTGCAATAAGATTATTGACTGCGGAATATCCGAGAAGATAGAAACTTCTGTTTGCCGGTGACTTTTTCTCTTAGGGAAGATAGTCCAGATTTCCTGCTATCAAAATGTGACTTCACTTTCCATTAGTTTTTATTGAAAAACCCTAGTCTTTTCTACTTTAGCCAACCAGGAAAATAACTCGCAGTCTCCACCTCTTATATACCTCTCATAGTTTTGTTTTCAGTGTACTTCTCTCACTGAAAAATGCTTGTGATGCCGGACCTTCCGCGAGGCATTGTCAATACACTAAGGCATGCTCTGCCTAACTCTTTCCAATTTCCTCCTTTTCCTATACCAAGAACAACCTTTACAATCATGAAAACTTCTACCGATGAAATGAAAAGCTCAAGGTTGCAGTAAAAAATTTATATCTTTAAAACTAACAACAAAACGCTTGGTTTTAGTACGGGATGCTATTATATTGTAACTGAGAATCAAAGTTTAAGCCCATACTTTTTGAAAATTGTTTTAATATTAAAAACGAATATTTTATAAATGCTATTCTTTCTCATTAATCTGGTCACCAAAATTTCAAATGCGTGCCATTGTTGTTTATATAGGAAAGGTTAAAACTGTTAAAACTTCTTCAACCTCTCAGAGTCAAAACAGTAGCCCAAGGGCAGTACGCGTTATCCGTGGATCAGGTAAGTTAAGGTCTGGTGGGAAAGGTTAGTAAGTTGATGGGTGACTGGCGCTGCACATGTGATCCCCCGTAAAGAGTAAAGAGTAAAGAGTAAAGAGTAAAGAGTAAAGAGTAAAGAGTAAAGAGTAAAGAGTAAAG